GCAAAGAATATAGAGAAGTTACATAGCCGAGGCCTCAGTAGGCTGAGAGATGCAATAGGCAACCACAAACCCAGGCCCACAACAACCTATCCTGCCATCAAAACTGAGAAGCAAGGAGGCCCCACCCAACTCAATAGCCAATGAACCTCCAGTTTCAAATACATTTGATCACGTTATAAATCTGTTGTTTGGCTGCACAAACAGACTTTGCTATCCTCACTCTTTCAACAAACACTTCCTGAACCAGGTACATAGTGCTGGCACCGAGAACCCAGAGACTGTGTGTGTGTGTGTGTGTGTGTGTGTGTGTGTGTGTGTGTGTGTGTGTGTGTGTGTCTGTGTCTGTGTGTCTGTGTGTGTGTTCCCCACCCTTAAGGAGCTCAGTTTACTGAGCATAACAGATAGTAAATCAACAGTTACGCCAATAAATGTTTTGGGAGACAGAGTAATGCAGGGTGTTCTGGAAGCCAGGAGGAAGGTCATCTCCAGGTCACAGAGAAGTGCAGGGTGGGGAAGGAAGGTGTCCAGAAAAGCAGAAAACTGACCTGAGTTAGCGAAATGGGGAGCAGGGGGTGGGTCATTCCCAGGAAAGGGCCCAGTTCTAGCAAAGGCACCAAGAGGTGATGGCTGTTGAGAGGCCAGGCTGAGGTGAGAAATACGGGTTAGGGAAAAAGTGAAATAGGGAAGGTGGCCAAAGGCCAGTTATGAAAAGACTGCAGGCCCGCTGAGGGGGTTTAACTTCTATTCTATAAGCAATGAGGAGCCCCTGGAGAATTTTAAGCAGGAGAAAGCCATGACAGATGTGTGAGTTAGAAACATCATGCTGCTAGGAAGTGGAGGTGGACTGAAGGAGGACAAAAGTGTGCCCAGGGAGACCAACGAAGAGGCCGTTGAAACAATCCAAATGAGGAGTCCTAAACAAAGGGGTGGGCAGGGAGTGACAAATTAGAACATGGGCTCTTCCAGAAAAGGTAACCAATGGAAGACGACAGTTGAGGGAAAGGACAAAGCCAAGGGTGACTCCTGCAGTCGACATGACTGAGGGGGTGCCGTCCCACCCCAGGCAGGCACCACAGGGAGACAGACACATTGGGTACCAGGCGAGGGCTGAGTTGGAGGTGCCCACAGGATAGGAGCTAGGAAGGAGGGCTGGGCAGAGGTTCTGGGCTGGATCTGCAGATCTGGGTGACTTCAGGAGAGAGGTGAACAGTGGATGAGCTTACCGGGGAAGAATACTGGAACTGACCAGAAAGGGATCAAGCAAAACCTTATTAAGCTAAAGACAGAGAAAAGAGAGCCGGCACAGCAAGCTGCGGAGTCGAGGCCTGCGGAGTTGGAGAAGAACCAGCGGGTGGCAGGCCAGGCAGGAAGGTGAGCAGAGGAGAGGGGCCAGGACGGGAAGGCTCAGCCCTGCCAGAGGCAGGAGGCTGCTCTGGCCCCAGGAGGGAGCTCTCGCTGCGGGGAGCAGTTAGCTGGGTGTGAGCAGCCACAGCCAAGCAAAAGAATTAAAACAGAGTGGACAGCTTAGATGACATATCTGCAGTCACCCCAAAGTGCATTATTATGACTTTTTTCAGAGGATTATCCTGCCTGCCTGACCTCAGACTGCACATCTCACCTGTCTATTCTGTCTGTCTCCCCCGCTAGCTCATCTGCCTCATAAGGACAGAACCTTTCCTGTGTCACCTGCAAAACTGCAGTGCCGATGGTAGTGCCTGGCACATAGAGGTGAAACTCCTTGTCCCAAGTTGCCTGGCTCACTAGAAACAACAACTATTCAATCAGCACATGCTACACGCCTGATACCAGGCTGGATGCTGGGGGTACGGTGGGAAACAAGTCAGCGCAGGACCCTGGCCTCGGACCTCGAAGTTGGAGGTGAGCAGAGAGAGATGCAAGTATTTAAACAAAAAGTAGACTCTAACTGCCTTAGAGCTAGGACTGGAATCTGACTGTCATGCCTTCTAGTGAGATTTCCTTTCCAAGCCCAAGCCTGCCACCTTCTCCAACTAAATGAAAATTTCAGCAGGGGAAAGA